CCCCAAAACCCCAAAACCCCAAAACCCCAAAACCCCGAACTTTTATATAAGAATTGAAATAAATTAAGTATTAAAATAGTTTATAAATACTTTAAAATCTAATCCTAAATTCACATAAAATCGCACTATCCAGAATCTATGATCACTAAGGAATCACAACCCACAAAATAGAAGAACAGTAGAATATTACTAAAGAGTCATTAGTTGTTAATGAACAATATTAAGATCTGCTAGTCTCAGCCGCTTCCAAAAGGGTAATTGGCCATTCTAGTCTCAGAGGTTAATCCACTCTCCTTAGTATTGTCATCTTCATGGGCTTCTTTGGTCTTCTTCAGAGATGGATTTTCAGCATTAGATGACACATTTGGAAATTTACTAGGGAAATTAGAAGAAATTTACCTTGAATTTGGGCTTTGAGAAGGGCTGAAATTTGAAGAGAATAAAGGAAGGATAGGGGGTTTAGAGCGAGTTTTTCTCAGTGCCTTAGGTTTGGGGTATAAGGCAACCTTCTTTACTTCCTCAACCTCTTTTGAGGGATTTTCTGTGATTTTAGGTATATAGGTTGGACTGGGTTCTTCTTCAATGATTACGTCAAGCTTCTTTTGCTCAAGAATGCTCTAAGTGGTTAGAGGCAAAGTATTACCTTTATGTTATTTCTGTGCTGAATATTTGGCACTTGTAATCTTGAATTTTGAGATAAATCTATTAAAAATAAAAACATTTCTCTTACTTTCTTCTAATTTATTGTTTTGAGAAGAAATTGATTTCAATGATTGGTTTGGGTCTTCAAAATTCTTTGTGCCAGTATTAGCCCCATTTTCTAATAAATCTTGCTCCTCCCTAAAACTATAATTATGCGGCTCACCTTTGCTTTCTCAGTTTTTCTAATTTCTCGAGGGCTTCTTTCTTGAGGCGCTTCTTTTTCTTTTCATCATGTTTGATCCGCTTTCTGATAGAATTTCTGCATTTTAGGTATCCATTCTTTATAGATATATAGATTATTGTAGTTAAGTTCTTGAGAAGACTCGCTAGAATCACCCCTATATAATTAGCAAAATCCATTACCAATCAGTAAGAATGCAAGTTTCTTGTTTGTACCCACATTAGCTTGATTTCTGTACATGTTGTATAGAACTATCACACCAAAGACAATGGTGAACTCATCAGATACACAGATTACTTGCTGTAGTTCACTCTTGAACGGCCGGATTCTAATGAGATATCCAATCAACTATGATGGTTACAATATCCTTACAGCAAGTTGCATTGCAAAGCACAGGGAAATTTGCAAAAGAGGCTTTTCGTACATCATGACTAATATTCCTGCAATTAGAAGTCTTTGGAATCAAAAAATTATGTAATAGCTTCTGTGATACATTGTCCTTGAGAGCATGAAGTCTTCAGTCAGGGTTCCATACTTGTCATTAAATTCTGGCTTTTTAAGAATCTTTGGAGGTGTTGAGATAATGTTGAGTAGAATGAAAGGCCACATTAGCACAAATATCTATCAAGTTATTCGTAAAACTTACACCAACAACAAACATGATTGATGTTCAAATTACCCCACTTGTAGATAAAAATTGAATCTAAAAATGAGGCATGAAGCTTACATTAAGAGTGTTCAGGAAGAAAGCAAGGCATATCTCAATATATAACTCTGTGAATGTTCTCAAGGGAGCATTCCAAAAGAAGCTGGTCCAAATCTCACCCATTTTTCTTTTAAAAAACGAAATTTTCTTAAAATATTTCTTTCCAAAATAAACAATTGGAAGAGATACTATAAACGACCCGAATATAATAGTCATCTGTTGGCTGAACAGCAGTGCTAAAAATGGAGTGTCATATCCTATATAATTTAAGCCAGAGTTCTTACCGTTGACTTCGAATCTATTATACAAGGTTATGTTGACAGAGAGATCAGTCGCATTAACAATATATTGAGAGAACCAGTCTGGGACCATGGATTCAAGTTCATCAATTTCTCCAACAACCACAGCAAGATACTTCATTAAGATATCTACCATCTTTGGCATTTCAATATTGATCATGAGGATATACCTAAAGACTTGAAGAGCATGGATCAGTGACCACATCAGTGCTGCAGAAGATGATATTATGACTTTTAACAACAAATTAGTTGAGAACATAGTCATTAGCATGTACTTCATGCTACTTCCTCCAGATTCAGCTCGTTCTTTTTCTTCTAAAAATTACGCATCTACTCTTACTTTGAGAAATGTAATCATAGTAATTAAGGTTGCCCGAAATCTTGCCTCCAGTCATACTATTTCCAACAACATCAGTCACTGCAGTGAGATTCTGGAACCAGAACTCTATCTTTTCAATTCCTCCTCCTTCAATCCTTGATGATATTTGGTGCACTTTAACTTGGATTGAAGTGAAGTTTGTAGCTTGCTTGAGAGCTTCAGGCTCATCGATGGAATATTTAAAAGTGTAGGGAGACTTTGGTCCTCTTATGTATGCTTTTAAGCTTTTGTTAAAATCACCAAAATCACTAAATTTTACTGGTTCACTGAAAGTCAATGTGCACGTATTTTCAGAGCTAACTCTTGAAAGAATTGCTGTTGGGTTTATAATTTCATATCAGGTGGTACCATTACATTTATATCCAATTTCTATTTCTCAGTTATTTGAGCATCCATCAAGGTTCACAAGGTTACCATCGTCTCATTCATATTCCCCCATAAACAGGCCATCTCCACAGATTTCTTTTCAAACTCCAAAATCATTAAGAGAGTAGCCTGTTACATTATTTCAATGAGTACATGTACCAGGAATGAGCATCTTGTGAACACTATCTCAAGCCAAGCAATTGTTAACATCAGGATATTCTCATCTGTCTCAGCCAGTGCCACAGGGGTAGCAAGATAAATCAGTAGTGTTGAGGTAATAACTTGGTACTCAGGTTACTTTGTTGCAAGTTGTTCCTGTCAAAGAGTAAAACAAAGTTCTATCTCATTCTGTACATTCAGTCCTTTCAGAGCCAAAGCATTTAGTGCATGCTTCGTGTCAGGGGTTTCAAGTCCAACGAACAGTATCTCCGTAATATCCATCTGGACATGTTTCATATCAAGCATTATCCAGATAGAAATAACCTTCTGCTCAGGTTTGGCAGTTAATACTTGTACCATCTTTACAAAGAGAGCCTATTTTGATTGATCAAATCTACTTACAATATGAATGACACTCTTCACATTTATTGGTGAGAGTATTGGGCCAATATGCTCCAGTTCACTCTGTTTTTCATTGTTCATATTGAAGGAAATACCCTGAAAAGCATCCCTGTCATTGATTATAATCCTCTGTTGTACAGTTATTACATTTGAAATAACAAGCTATGTGATGTTAGAATTAACTTCTTACGCTTTACTATTACTTTGAAAGAAATAACTCCTTGTTGACCAAAGTCGTCGGTAGCTATATACTCTAGATCCCAGACTCCAACATGAATGATTTCTGGTGTGCCATACAGAGTGTTGTTCATGCTGTTAAAGGTCAAAAAAGATGGGATTGGACCATCATCTGCTTGTCTAAGCATCGATGTCATAGCTCTACCATCTGGGTCTGTGAACAATACATCTACTGGATCCATTTCAAAATGTAAGAGATTATAGTTGACTACTGATGGGTTACCGATAACTTTGTTCCTCACGGGACCACGATTCTCATTTATTGTTAGTGTAAAATTGGCTTCGGTTGGTGTGTTAAATCCATCATCTGTCGCTAATGTTACTGTGTGCACTCCTGCATAAGAATTAGTTGTTGATGCAATACTGAAACTAAACGTATCAGGATCATTTATTAGCCATGAAGGAATTGTAGTGCTGCCATTTAATTTTATTATGTTAGTGAAAGAAAGACCTTCAGGATCACTAGCAATTCCTGCTCCATAGCTCCATGTCAATGAATCAGGAACTAATAACTCTTTGTTTTCTACAGAACTCATTATCGTTGGATGATTTGTATTTACTGTAAAATTCATTGTCCAAGTGTAATTATTAACATCGGCATGAGGATCAATATTGTTAATACTTAGTTCATACTGTCCAACAAAAGAATTAGAATTAGGAGTCCCAGTAAATGAAACATGTGTTGCATTTTGACTGCATGTTATCCATCCAGGAGATGGGGTGATAGATCACTGGTGGGTCAGGGCTTCACTCTCATGCTCACTAACCCAACTCAGATCAAAATGATAAATGAAGGGGAACCCTACAATAACATTGGAAGGAGAAGTAGGAGTTCCACTTAAGTAAGGAACTTGATTTTCTATTACTCATATAGTCACATTATCTTCACTGGGGCTCAAACTCGGGTTAGTATCTCTAATTATTATAGTGAGGGTATAATTTCCGAACTGGCTATTGTCTGGGGTCCCAGAAAATAAGAGATGTGTGGTATTCTCAGACAGAGAAATCCATGCTCCTTTTACATCATTCACACTATGACTGTATGATAGAGTTTCCCCCTCATCATCAGAGTAAGATGATTTTGGAACTGAGTAATCTAGCGCATAGTGAGCAATGATTCATGAAGGATCTGGAGCATTAAAGTTAATAATTGGCTGATCATTTTTATCTATTCGAATAGGTAAATTTTCTGTGAACGTCGAGATATTCCAGTTATCTTCAACATGGAACTTTAAGATGAAATCTCCATACTTTGTGTTGTCTGTGAGGGTACCTCGGACTGTTCTATCGCCAGGAGTGTAAGTCACTGTAAAATCTGGAGGGACTAGTTCTACTCTGATAGTCATAGGGTCGTTCTCAATATCTTTAAAAGCGTCTGTAGGAACTGAATAGCTGAATTCATAGAATACGGACACTGCTGTAGCCGCTGGTAAACCTTGATCTAGTTGAGGAATATAGTTCTGGGTTACTGTGATTGTAAAGTTGGTAGTTCTTGCTGCTGAATTTGTGTTATTATCGTCTGCATATATAGTAATTATATATGTCCCAACAGCAGAGTTTACAGCTGCAAATCCACTAAAAGTGCGAGTAGAATCATTAAAAGATAGCCAGCTTGAAGGGTCTGACGATGGGTATGATTTTGTATATGTAACTGGTTCACCATCAAGATCGACAAACATATCAGATGCAAATGTATAATTTATACTTTCTCCTGCAACAAGAGTCAAATTTGGAAATGCTGTATTCAACTGGGGAGATCTGTTAGGGTTGATATAAACAGAAAACGTTGTATTAGTTTCTCCATTGATAGATTTGTATTGGTCGTTAGTATATACATGCAATAAATATGCGGTAGCAGACACATCTGAAACTGTAGGCATACATGAGAAAGTACCTGCAACTTTATCAAAGGTCATTCAGGCCATGGCAGGATTACTGAAAGTATCATTGTACTGAATGGTATCTCCGGCTTCATCCGCTGCGTATGTGCTGAAATCATAGTCTCATTGGACACCTTCGTATCAGTTTATGGAAGTAGAGGGAACTCCAGAAAGAGAAGGAAATGTATTGGATTTTATGTTAAAGTGCATTTGTTTAGTTGCAGTCTGACCATTTGGATCAAAAGCATTAATAACCAAAGATTGGTTATAGTCAAAGGTTAGATGATTAGGAGTGCCAGATAGTATATTAGTAGTGTTGTCTACAGATAGCCAAGTTAGATATCCACCAACAGATGTCAAAGTCCAAGTTAGATCTTGTCCATCAGGCTCATTGAATATTGTACTTAAATTCAGAGAAAATGGATGAAGTCCAAACCCATCGTATTCTAATGCAGTTGGTCCTATATTTATTATTCAGATAATTTAGCTTAAAATGAGATTGCAATGGCTATTTCTTTAACACTTTCAAAATGCTCAACCAGAATTAGATAAAATTATGTTTAAAAGTACTTTCCTATGAAAACCCTAGTTCAGTCTCAAAAACTGAATCTACTCACATTAATTTTATGAAATTCAGAGGAACTCCCATAATATTTTGAACTAAGCTTCTTTTAAGAAACAAGAATTATCATGATCTATCTCAAGTGGTGAATAAATATTAAAAGTATACAGAAATGCCCTACTTCAGATTAAAAGAACTAAATCGAATGAAATTTTATGCAGATCCCAAAAATCTGCTCTATTTAAAACAAGAGAAATATTTTTAATCTTCATAGATCTTTAAAACTTCAGATATACAAGCTCAGGCTTACCTGTGTACACCGGTCCGTTATTAAAAATAATCTCTAGATTCATAGTGTAAGTAGTCTCCTTTCCAAATGCATCATAAACTCTGAAGTTTATAGTGAAATTTCCGATATCTGAGTTTGTAGGAGTTCCTGTTAATTTCATTAAAGGAGCATTTACTGTGGCCCTAGAGATATGAGTTTTGGCTTACCATGATCCGGTAGTGTTATGAGTTAGATCAAAAGAAATAGTATCTCCATTTGGATCAGTTACAAGTGTTTCATCATAGTCTATTGATACTTGGGATAGAGCAAACTGGGAGATATTTACAAATGTCTCTGAAGAAACTGGGGGTAAGCTTTCTTCGATAGTTATTGTCATCTAAGGAAAAATTTAGATGAAAAAGATTTCAGAAACTTACGCTTTGTGTGGTTGAGCCAGTATCTGGCCAAGGGTCAACTGCTGTCAGAGTAAATGTGTAAGTTCCAATATCAGCATAAGCAGGAGACCCTGAAATAACTCGAGTCAGATTGTTATAGCTTAAGAATGGAGCTACTGGAGTAAATGAACCTGTTATAGACATTGCTTCAGAATTAGGTTCGCTAAATGTATTCACTACATGAGTATGAGTGTTTGCTCTCCCTTCAACAAACACGATATTAGTGAGTGTTTGATTTACAATAGGCTTAGTGTTTGCATTAAATACTACATTAAAATTTGAAGTTCCATTTGCTGTATCCACTTTTCCATCACTAGCAGTAACAGTAACAACGTAAGTTCCAGCATCAGAGTTAATTGGAGTGGAAACCTAAATATTAAAAAGACAGTTTACATTTAACTTCCAAGCTACAAAATCTCAGACAATAAGCGAAGAAGCAGGAGTTACAGTATATGCATAAGACAATGCTTCTCCCTCTGGCTCATTGAAAAAGTTTGTTGGCAAATCAACAACTTTGGAGTATTTTGCAGTTACAGCTTGATCAGCCATAGTAGTAATATTTGCTGGAGCTTGATTTGCTTGAAGTGTCAAAATAAAGCTGACGCTATTATGCTGACTTGCAGTTGCCAATGCATCATAAGCATGAAGTGTCACAGTGTAAACTCCTGCAAACGAGTTGTTTATTGCACTGAAAGTAAACATACACTCAGAAGATGTTGAAAGAGTCAGCATTGTGCTTGGGGGTGATGGAGAAATTGTATGGTTAACAGTTATAGGATTGCCATCTGGTCCATCTTCAGCTCAAAATAGAGGACTTCCAAATGTAGTCTCATTTACATAGATTCTGTATACAACATTTGGGAATGTGAAATTAAACTATAAGGTTATTCAAACTGCTTACTTTAGGTAAGTAGTTGACCGAAAGTGTGAAAGGGAGAGTAGTAAAAATCTGTGCATTAGTTCCATTCTCAACTACTTTCCAAGTGTAGATATGATCGCCTGCATTTGTTCAGCCAATATTAGTTACATCCAAAGTTGGATTATTATTAGAAAATGTATTGGTAAAAGAAGATGCTGGAGCAGGAATATCGTGGCTATCATAATAGAAAGAATCACCTTGATCATCAACTCCTGAAGGAATTGTGATAGTGATGCTGTACCCACAATTAACATATTGCTGAGCAAGAGTAGAGGAAAAATAAGGGGCTGTGTTAGCAGCAAAGGTCACATTAAAATCATAGTCTCGAGGAGTAGAAGGATCATAATAAACTCTCATCATAAATTCCTTGGTAGTCCCTCCATCTGCTAAATTTAGGGTCTGAATTGTTCTACTATATTAAAGTTAGGCTTCAATTAATTTTAAAATTGCTCCTTTCTTGACTTCATAGCACTTAAAATTTCCCTCAGAATCTAATTACCCAGAGTTCTCAGAGTGGCTTACTTTCCAGAGGTTTCTACTGTGCAAATACTTGAAGCAGTCATTGTGATCTTATCAAGACATTCATAATAAATGCCTCCTGCAGCATTGGCTAAAGTTGTTAAGGGGGAGATCTTACTGACAGACTTGTTTGTCTGGAAGGCAAGAGTCACTTCGTGGAATTCTCCAGCGCGAAGAGAAAGATTAGTAACAGGAGTTGTGATGATAGGATCGTTTTTGATGGTGCGGGTGAACTATGGGTCAAGAAATGAGCTTACAATAAGATCTGCGGTGGATGCTAAAGGAAGATCCCATACAATCACCTATGGAGTTAGAGAAAACAGTACTTTGAAGTTGAACTCGTATGTTATTTGAGTATCATACCAGATCCCTAAGGCAGTGGTGTCTATGTGATATTTGATTTTTTGATCTGCTGTGAATGTGAAGTCGTCGACTGTTATTATTACAGGCACAGTTGTGTTAGTACCGTTGGTAAACAAGGAGATTGTGTAAGGTATATTAGAAGGACTGTCGCCTGTAGCAATACCCCACTGGAATGAGCCAGTAGTAGAGTAATAAGTATAATCAGAAGCAATTATATTACTAGTTACAGATGGTATAACTAGAGAGCAATTGTTAACTCCTGCCGTTTCCAACTTAGCTTCATCAGCTTTAAAATAATATGGAGAAGTGGTGTATTTATCATCGCTAAATTTAAGATTAGTCTATAATTTCCTCGATATCGTTATGTTACTAAAATTTTATTTTTCTTCTGTTTCAAAACTAATCCACAAGTTTAACACGGTTCCCAAATTTAGCGCTAAAATCTACCCCAGCCATTGTTGGTTATCTCTTAAGTCAGAACTTACACAATGATTGTTACAGAAGTCATTGCTACCACTGTAAAGTTGCCTTCTCAATGGACTGCTGGATCCAGAGTAGTTGTTGTAAAAGTTTGGGTAGAGAATAGACCAAGACTTGTTTCTGAAGCGAAGGAGTATCATGACTGGTGGTTAACCAAGGCTTGACCAAATTTTAAGATTGCTGCATTTTCATGAGAAATGTCTGAACCAAATCCAGTACCTCCAACTGAAGCATAGTAGTATCCACTGGAGTAAAGAAGAGTGCTGAGAGAGCCTGGATTTGCATCAGCCAAGCTTTTGAATAAACTCATTGTTACATCACGCGATGTTGCATTATATACTCACTAAAGTACAAATTTGTTAGATATAATTATTATGCCTTTTAAAGTGCCAAAATTTTAATGAATCTATTTCTTATGCATTGCTTGCATTAATAAATGGGATAATAATTTCTTTAAAATAGTGTTCGATAAGGTTAACCGAAATCTATCAAACAAACAAAAAATGCGTATTAATATAATTTTAAGAGACGATACTCCAAAAGCTTACCAATGAGATCAAAATTTTCGAACTGTCATGTCCAACAGTGTATATATTCTCAGCTCCAGCAACATGTATTGAGTTCGTAACCATTGGCTTAAAATAGGTTAACTTCCATCTCATATAAACAGTTGTCAAATCATTGGGGTCAAATATTGTAAAGAAGAAGGCTCCACTAGGTGTGACTAAGTCACTTGGATCCCATCCGTTCCCAGCCATTTCCCCATTTGATAAACTGACTAATTGAAGGTATCTATGGTCTTGGAGAATGTATTGGAGAGCTATAGGAATGTTATTAGAAGTCTCACAATTGTATCTCTCAACATAGGTGACATTGCTACAATCTTCTGTCTTTACTTTGTAATAAAGCTGCCTTGTATTGCCTATATGAATGAGTGAGTTTTTATGAATATTTAGCTGATTTTATGGGGTATGAGAAGCACAGAAGATAGGTTTAAACTAGTAAATCTGTAAATAAGGTGATCAATTTAATGAAGATAAGGCTGAATCTAATCTGAGTTTGCAGAAAGATACTTTTCATTCAGAATAATTAGATTTTGTAACTATTATACTTCATAAACAATATGGAGTTAGCAGAAGTGTCGTCATTGATAAAATTTTGCATTTGAAGAAAATATTTTAACTAAGAAATTTTGATAGCATTTTACTTAAAATTTTCTATAAATTCTTTAAAAAGTATTTAATCTTTAGTAATACACTGTCATTCTATTGTAAATCCTAAACCCTAGTTTTTGGACTTACCACTCGGGCCATCAGACATGAAGCCAACCTGGTAAGCTCCTGTCTCAAGCACATTTGATGAGTGAGTAAGAGGAGACCCATTGTTTTTGAAGTTGAGACTACTTGGAGCAGTATCTGTAATTCCATTCATGCAGAGCATGTACACATCTCCATTAGTCTCTGAGAAGTACACAGCATGTTTATCAGTTGAAGAGGTGTGTGCCAACAAAAATGTAGAAGTCACTGGGGTGGTCGAAGAGTACGTTACATCCAAATTGCCTATAATAGAAAGAAATTCTTACTGTCAATTTGAGCAGCAATTAGATTTGCAGACCTAAAGTTATTAGGAAAAAGTTACGATTTAAGAAACATGAAGAACCCAGATGACCCTTTGTTGCAGTTAACTTCAGTAGGATTGTCAATGGCTGTTCTGTAGAATTTCATTGCCTGAATTTTTCCAAGGTAATCCATTTTCAATGCAAAAGTATCAGTTGAGAAGGTGTTGTAATCTCTATTTGTCAGTGAGTTAACTTACCCAGTCATCGTTCCACACACAATAACAGTATCGGCTAAAGGTTCAGCTCAATGGCTTACTTGCGAGTTCGAACATGGAGGAGATATCTGTTTTTCCAAGGTTTTCAAGAACTAGCGGGAAGTAGTACGGAGCTGTTGTCTATTTTGAAAAGATAAGTTAAAAGAAACATATCCAATACATTCGCTTTTGAGGTTTAAGATTTTACAAGAATTTATTACTACCCAAAAATCAATTTTAGGATGAAGATGATAAAGCAACAGCTAAATGTAGGCCCTTTGTAGTTTTTGAGGGGTCTTGAGCAATCATTTTAAAGGAGATAAAACTAAAAATATGAAATCTATGAATTCTTCATTCTTTTTTAGCTCTTTAATTTTTCAAATTCCTACTTCTTTGAAAAATTCAAAGAAGTTTTATAAATAAGATACGATAAAATCCCAAGTTAGGTTAAAGAGAGTTTTTGAATTTTTATTCAGCTTACTAATTCTCTATTTCTTGTTGAAAACATCGTCAACCTTCTTTACACTGTCATCTTGCTTTTTCTCTAAACCATTAATATTATCCAACATGAAAATAATAAATCTCCATAATAACTTTATATATAATCTAAAAGAAGCTCTCTCAGGACCCTAAAACTAAACTCAGATTCAGATCATTAAAATTGTCTCAAAACTGCTCAAATCCTTCTCAAACCTCATAATTCACACCCAAAAAATTATGCAAAATTTTAGGTTAAGCTATCCAAATTCTTTACTGTTAGTCTTAAATATGAAATCTTATCATTTTTCTAACCCTCTTCCAAAATACACAAAGTGAAAAATAGCTTAACCAAATCCTTATGGGTAAAATTCTAGCAGAGATAGACTTAAGCCCACTTAGGGACCTTCCTAAAGGGTGAAATAACTACATCGCGGTGGTACACCAAGAAGTACTAAAATTCAGAAAAGTAGTGGGAATTTTATTTAGGTCTTATTCTGAGCCGAGTATAGGAGAATGCGAGAACTTGAAAATGCGCTCATGTTAGACCAACAATTAAAGGGATCTAATAATCCGTCAAGAACAAGCTGGATTGTAATGTTTCAATAGTGAGTGCTAAGCTCCTCCCCATGGTGATTTAAGAAATTCTGGAAAATTTATGAGCATGAGTTTGATAAAAACAATTTAAGGTTACTATTATCATCGCTATGAAAGCTAAGAAAATATTATTGCTAGCAAAATATTTGCTAAAATATTTTGTGAGTAGATCACCCGGTTTGGCTTAGAAATATTAAGCAAAATATTAAATCGTTATCAATTTGATAGGAATTTGTGGATAAATATGATACACCAGGGCTTTACGATAAGCCAAAACAGTGTGAAAGTCTTACCTTGGGCTGAAACATGATCTATCAGCCACAGAAGGACTCACATCATTCGTAGATATACAAAGAGCTTCATTTTTCTATACTTATTTATAATTATTCCCTCTCATCAATTATATATGGAGATTTGGGGTTTTGGGGTTTTGGGGTTTTGGGGTTTTGGGG